CTGGAGGACATAGGGACCCCTATTTCATCATTCTGCTTCATTCTATCTCTAATCTCCCACTCTGCAGAATCTGTTAGTTAAATCTCTAACGTTCTGCTCTCTCTGCTTTTTCTCATTGTAGCTTCGCCTCATTTGTTCCTGTTTGAAATATCGTCTGAGCTGCTGCCATTAGCACCTTTTTATAGATGTTGGAGATCATCCTGTTTATCAGTGTAGTCCTGTTTCTCTGTCTGTGACTGTGCTCTCTTCCTCCTCGGAGCTCATCTGCCTGATTTTGTGTTTTCTGGACGGGGCCTTTTACAGCTGCTTTTTGTATCTCTGCTTCTGTCTCCTTGAACCCCAGTGGGCCTCGGCAGATGGCCGCTCACACTGAGCCTGGTTCTGCTGGAGGTTTCTTCCTGTTAAAAGAGTTTTTCCTCTCCACTGTCACTACAAGCATGCTTAGTGCAAGGGATTGCCTTCAAGTCAATGAGTCGATGCAATCAACTGGTTTTCCTTAGATATAAAACCCTGAATCAATTTGACTGTATGATCTGCTGAACTATAAAGTGCCTTGAGATGACATGTGTTGTGAATTGGCGCCATAGAAATAAACTGAATTGAATTGAAACCGGTGCAGATGATTACAGACTGTTAGGATTCTCTAACTAGTCCTGAATTATTGTACTAGTCCTGTGGCTTCTTTGTAAAACAAGATGGAATGAAATGTGTAATCTGAAGGAGGAAATTTGTTCCAATGCTTTTAGGGAGATTTAATCATATTTTTTTTTAAATATCAGCTGTATATCAGATTCTTTGGGGGATTTGTTTTCTTTTTTATATTTCTAACAAGATTGTTTTATGTCTCTGAAAATAAGCTTGTATACAAGAGCTCTGCGTCATTCCTCAGCGTTACACATTCATGATATTTGTAGGTAGTGTAGCAGAACTTATGAGTTCTTTCTAAATTAATTCTTTCACTTTTTATTTATATATATATATATATATATATATATATATATATATATATATATATATATAAAAACAAGACTATAGATCAGTTTCCTCAACAATCCTATTAAAGTGACGGTTTTTACACCGCAGGTTCTGTTGTTCACTACTTCTTTTGATTGCTCTCTTGTCACACCCAAAGAGGGTCGGTTCCCTTCTCTACTGCTCTGCATTTTTAGTTTTCACACAACTACATTATAATGAAGCAAACTTGATTAATGCCCCAAACTGCTCCTGACAAACTTCTGCATTTTTTTTAATATGTTGCTGTTTGTGTCATCAGATATGTGCCTGAGCTCATCTGAGGGCAGCGAGGAGCCGCAGAGTCGCTCCAAGCTGCTGCGTCTCCTGGATGCAGTAACCGATGCTCTGGTGTGGGCCATCGCTAAAAGTGGCCTCACCTTCCGCCAACAGTACACCCGCCTCGCCCACCTTCTTATGCTGCTCTCACACATCCGACATGTCAGGTAAACTGGACCAAAGTGAGAGTAACACTGCAGCCTTTAGTGCTCAGTTTATGCTAAATTGTAAAGTTAAAAGTATAGATTCTTTTACAGATAAGCATGGCTTTAAATTCAGCCCCATTCAGTTTAATGACCTTGAATACAATCCAAAGCCTTTAGAGCTAAGATGAAAAATAGTTAAAAATGCTTTTAAAATTAATGCACTGAGTAAAATATGTTGGAGGCAGGCATCATGCTGTGTAGGTGATTTTGTAGCACAGGGACAGGAAAGTTGATCAGAAGATGGAACTTAATAGATATGTAGATGTAGATGAATAGATCATTGTATAGTAAACTTTAAGCCAGGTCGGAAAAATAACTTGGGTTAACTTTGGGTAAGACTTTAAAATTGCTCCTTGAAAACATTTCAGAGACAAGAAATCCAAATCTGGTTTAACTTTCTGCTCTAAGTGCATTAAATTTATTATTTCTATAAACTAACTGCTTAGGCTTTTTATTTGTATCATTTCTAGGTCTACAACCAATGATTGTTATGTAAATGGATTAATCTGTTGATCATCTTTTCAATTAATCGATTAATAATTAGGTAGCCAAAAATTCTTTAAAGAAGACTTGTTATGAAATTAAACCAAGTGATTCTTAAAGGTCTAGTGGAGGATCTTTTTCTGGGTGGGTCATCAAAATAAGTGGTCTTTCTAATTGTCAATCATTCTGGTGATAAGTTTGGCCGTCCTATGCGCTCGTCTCCATTTTCACTTAGCGGTGGTGAGTCTGACTTAATGGAAAAATGTCAAATCTTCTTTTGGAAAGTAAGCTTGTATGAGCGATGCAAACAGCACCTTTTAAACAGAGCGTGCATTAGGAGAAATGGGGCCTCGCACGTGTTTAATAGGCGTTCCCTCTAGGGGTGTAAATAATAATCGTTTTGTATCGATGCATCGATCCAACAGCCGACGGTCCGATGCATCGACACGTCCGCAAGAGTATTGATTATTTTTATTTTTTTTTTCGTCTGGTCTATTTTTATCCATTTGCTCCTGGGTGTAATTCTCCCTCCCGTGCTGCGGTGCCGCTAAACCTATTTTGCCCTCCTACCTCGCTTCCTGGTTATACTCTTACAGCAGTGTGTTGCAGTGAGCTTGACGCAGACATTTTTTATTTATGCTCAGTATTTAAGCGTGGTCTGTGCTACACGCTGTGGGTCTAGATACGGCCGAGGCGGTGAGGAAGTGGGGGTGAGTTTAGTCCGACGACGGATCGACATGAGGGCCAAAAAGAGCGGAGATCCAGGTGGAAAAAGGGTCGCTCTTATAGCGGGTCAAACTTCACGAGTTGTTTTCCGCAAATTTGGTCATGAAAACAAAAGAGGCCGGCCTCCTGTCTGCTGTACTGTCTGCCGTCAGCTACAATTTGGGAGAGGTGCAGCGGAGCGTCTGTGGGAGGGGGCGGGGACGTCTGGAGCCGAGGTATTGCATTGCACTCATTGCACTGATTTTGTGCAGTATTTTCTGATGCAAAGCCTTGCAGAATCTATAACGCAGGGGCATTATTATTTTTCAGTGAATTAGGTTTTTCATAGGAATAGATGGAGTGCAACTTTTCTACTTCTGTTATTTTCTGTAGTTTAGCATAACGATATTACAGCTTTCATTGATTTATTTCAAATTTGAAACATTGTCTAGCCTGTAAGGTGTAAAAAAAAAAAAATGAACCAATTAATCGAATCGAATCGTGGAGTATTCTTGAGTATCGAAAATAATTGAATCGTTGGGTCAGGAAATCGATACTGAATCGAATCACCATGATGGGTGTGATTTACACCCCTAGTTCCCTCTCAGGAGTGGGTACAGGGTTGTGCATGTGCATTTTTTTTTTTTTTAAGTGGGAGAGGAGAGGGTGGGTCTTTTTAAAAATTTGTTAAAATCCTCCTCTATATCTTTAAGCCTATAGATAATATTGATTATCTGTAGTTTCATATGTTATTAACTCTACATGTTTACACCTCTCTTTTCAATGTGTAGCAACAAAGGCATGGACCACCTGCACTGCATGAAGATGAAAAACATGGTGCCTTTGTATGACCTGCTTCTGGAGATGCTGGATGCTCACATCATGCACAGCTCACGTCTCACTCGCCGGCCTACTCAGCAGGAGTCCACGGATCAGTCAGAGGTGGCGTCTGGTCAGGCCCACTGCTCAGCCGGAGGCCCCTCAAACACCTGGACTCCCAGCAGCGCTGAAGTCGGAGGTGAAGCCCAGTTTTCAGATTAGAAAGCAGAATCAAAGACTTTTTTTTGCTTAGTTCACACACACAAAAAAAAAGCTCACAAGAGCAAAACTTTTCAGGAACAATCTTCAAAGGCCAAGAGCTGGATTCTCTGATTGATCACTGCTGAATCTTACACACATTGTGCAGTATTTCTAATGGGTTCCTCTAAATACGAAAGGTTAAAGCTAAAGGGGATAAGCAACACTTGCTGGCTTCTTTTCACCCAGTGTGGAACTAAAACCAGGGGAACTAAAACTAGCAATTTAACCTGGAGCATCAGTCAGTTTAAGATCTAGGGCATTAAATCAATCATCGTAGGTTACTCGGCTTTCAGTGTGACACAGAGTGACATGGTTTATTTGTCACATTACAGATCTAGCATCTTTCTGTTTATTTTAAAGATGACCTGAGTAATATAAATATTCAATGATTTTACCAAATAAGGGAACAAGGCTATCCAAACCAAACAGACCAGATGTGGAATATAAGATCATGTATAATCATGATATTTGTTCAATTCAATATCAGTAGCTGCAGTCTGATTACTGTCAGATATGTACAGTAGAATCAATGCGTCATTTAAAAACAACCAGCATTCAACAGTTACTCTGAGAGTGCATCAAAGAATAATCCAGGAGTTCACAAAAGAACACAGAACAGGCATCTAGGGAACCACAGACATACCTTATCTCTGTTAGGGCCAGAGTTCAGGTTTCAAACATTTAAAGGGCTTTTGTTGGTTAAAACCACAAGAAAGCAAAAATTGTCTAAAAGGCAAAAATCATTAATTTACATTGATGCTCTTGGGCTGCTTCTGGACTTCAGAGACTTGCTGTAATTCATGAAATCATGAAGGTTTCGCTTTCAAAGAAAGAAATGATCAGAAAACACAGAATATGTGACCATCTGGAGCAGATATTGTGTTCAAGAGCACTTAGATTATGTGGATTAAGTTGAAAAAACTTATCCCAAACTGACAAAAATGGCTTAAATTGGACGGGAATCGGTTTTGGGTTAGTTTATTTTATAAGATGTTTCGACATCTATCCCAGGGGTCTTTGCCAATTCTGTTGGCTCGCACCAGTGTGAGTCTTTATATAGGTGTTATGAAAGAATCCTGAAGTCGAAGTCTAAATGAAAAATCTCAATCTTATTATGGGACTATCACTAAACTGTATTCATGCAAATGAAAAAACATAAAACAAAAAAAAAACAGCTTTTAAAAGTTGTAGAAAATTCCTCTGTGGGTCTTTTGCAGTCATGTGACCTCGACACAAGGAGGCGCCATGTTGGGGGGTAACCTGCCTAATCGCTGCCTAAATGAAGTTAATTTGAGTTCAGACAGTAAAGCCGCGATGACAGTGCGATAAGTTCAGCAACATGGACATCCACAATAAAAACGAGACGAAGCCTTACAGAGATAAACTCAATAAGGACGCCAGAGACCGGTATTTAGCTAAGCTAACCTCAATTAGCAATATAGATCCGTAGGAGCTAGCAGCTAAAGCATGGACAGCCGACTCCTCGCTATTTCCACCAACTACAAATATGGGCATAATTTGTTATCTTGTTAATGGTGTTAGTGCATATACACTTGAAGAATTCCGAAACTACAAATCTCTGGACACTCATGGACTGTTTACTAATGGTTGGGTGCAAGATTTATACTCATTTCAACCACAAGGATGCACTAACACTGTGGTCACCACAAAGGTAAGATGTTAGTCAAACTTGTACAAGTCTTCACTTCACAGCTTTATCTACGGTAAGTGTAAATTATGGTGCATCCGAACTTATCAAGTGGCAAAAAGGTTCCAAAATTATTAAACTCAAAGTACATAAAGCTCTTTTACATGGTAAATAAATGTAATCGCGTGACCCCTGGAATATTAAGGTTCATAGCAAATATATAGGTGGGTTTTTTTGTTGGTTTTGGTAAAAAAAAAATGGGGACAACTGGGACAAAGTTTGTAAAAAACACAAGAAGAACGAGCCATTTTAATTTACAAAAGAAAAGGTAAATCTCCTCGGGACGCTTGAATAGCAGCTCTAATTTCTCGCACGGTAACCCCCCAACATGGCGCTAATTACCCATAATGCACAGGGCGTGACGTCACGTGCGAAAGACCCATAGTTGTGTTANCAAAGAAAATCAGGCTGACTGCACAGCTATTTTTTCACATCAGGTCAGGTTGGTTTGAGCTGTTTTTTTCCCCTAAATAACTGAAATCCTTATTTCCCTTTTGCATCATGGGAGATTACATTTTGAAATATATTAAATATATTAGCTTTTAATCTTTGACATATTTTATTTCCCTTTGGGATCAATCAAGTATTTTTCAATTGATTTGAATTAAATTAAATAGAAGCCTGACAAAAAAACTGAAACAAAATCTGTTAGGATGCAAGTAGCTTTTTTCACAGCTCTGTATGTTTCTGGGTTTCAATTTTTATAGTTTCTTTGGAATATTTAAAATTTGTCCATAAATTAATTAAACCACCAAAACCATTGGAATCTACAATCCATTTTTAACTGTACTGTAATTTACATACAGTACTTTCCTAAAAGACACTCTTGCTTTTAATCAGCCACGTGGTTTTTTGTAATTTTTAAGTGGTCTTGACTTCTGCAGGTTTTTCAAAGGTTTTCTGTGGCCTTTGCCTGTTCAGTCCATTGCTAGACAATTTTCAAAGAAAAGTTTTGTTTTGTTTTTGGTTTTCTAATTCTGAAATTGTTTAAGTATAAAAAAGACCCTGCATGGTAACTTATAAAACAAAATCCTTAAAAACATGTTTTTTGACTAAATCTAGAAAAAAAAAAAAAAAGAAACTAGAGAAATATGCTATATTGTTTGTTTAAACCAATAAACTATAATAAACTCTTTTCTGGAATCATCTTTTAGAGTTGTATCCTAATACATTTCTCAAACTGTTATTTTTTATTTAATGAAGGTAACTTACAAACGGATAAAAAAAAAAAATTGCAAACATCCTTCCCCTTTAGCCTGTTTTCTTGATCTAAAAACTCTTACTATAGTTTTACTGCTGCCTTAAAGACTTTTTTAAAGTTCCATTTATGCAAAAAAATAAACAATAGAGATTTTAAGAGTTTCAAATGTTACTGTAAGAAATCCAAATTGAGTCCATAACTAGATATAAATAGACAGTAGACATTTGACTTTGGACCACAGACTAACCACAAGAGCAATGACCTTATGGCATCTCTGTCTAATTCATTACCTGCATTTATGTTTTCAAGGAAGCTGCAAAATACAACCGATTACAGAATATATTTTCCATTCGATTGAGATTGCTTATGCTTATTTTAGGTGCTTTTAAATGGCAGAATATTCATGGGAAGAAGTGGCTGCCATAGTAATCAGTGTTCATTTTATTCAGTGTATAATAAAGAATGAGCTCCTTTATCAGTGGGTGTATATTGTCTGTTTGGTTCAGAGGTGTAGCCAACATGTGAAGCACTCTGAAGACGCCGTGGAAAACTTCAACTGTGAATCTATTCTGGTTTAGATCTCTGTATCAAGCTAAAAAACCAGGACTTTATGCATTTGTCTGTTTTTATCAACTGTAAGGCTAGAAGTATCAGTTAGCTTTATGCTAAGTCTAGTTCCGCTTATTGTTGAGTCTAGGGGCTAAGATGTAATTACCTACGGCAGCACCAATCAAGGTTTTTTCCCCCTGATATTAATCAGAGGTGAGAAAATTAATTTGCTAACAAACAGTCCCAATCCAAAATAAAAATAATTTGTCTGCTGTAATGTCCATTTTGCAGGACAGGCTTAATATGCCACATCGGTGTGAAGAAACTGAACTGATTTGGTAACTCATCACCTGAAATGGGTATAGTTTCTAAACGGAGGTAAAAAGATATTATCAGACAGTAAATAAAGAACATAAAACATGTTTTCCCTCACTGACATTTAAAGAGAAATGATTTACCGTTTCTTTAGTAAAGTTAGGATTTCGCCTAAAAATATTCACATACATACACTAAAGGCTGATTTATACTTCGAAACCAGGTCGTCTGCGGTGAACACAGAGACGTCCCCGCCCCCTCTGCAGACACTCTGCTGCTCCTCTAGCAAATTGTAGGTAATCACAGACAGGAGGCCTCTGACTGGTCAAATCTACATCCGCTCTACTCATGCGTATCTTCTGTTTAGTACTTTAACGACTTGTTTTGTTTGTATGACTGCAATTGTGGAAAACGACTTGTGAAGTTGAACCAGCAAGAAGAGCAAGGTGCGCAAGAACACTGGGACCCTTTTTCCACCTGGATCCCCGCTATTTTTCGCCCTCATGTCCCTCCGTTGCTGCACAAACTTCGCACCGCCTCGGCCGTATCTAGACCCACAGCTAATTCATGATTGTCCCTCATACATTGTGGAGTGGAATAAACATAGCGCAGACTACGCTTCAATAAATATAAGTATAAGTCAAAAATATCTGCGTCATAGCTGTGACATGTTCACTGTGACACTGCTGGGGGAGTATAACCAGCCCTTTAGATCAGCAAGTCTTTCAATACTTTTAAAAAGCCCAGATGATGAAGATGATGTCAATTTATGATGACGTGGCTTTTGAAGGCCTCTGAAAGTTTAATTCACATTTATATGAAACAGAGGGACACACTCTTTTGTGGAAAAAAACAAAATAATCCAGACGATGTCTGTAAAACAATCAAGGACCTCCTTAAGTCAGGTTCATCCTTGGCTACAGTTTCCAGATGCCTTAAAATGCCTGAAGGTGGACTCTTTATTAGTTACATATCCACAGAGAAGAGATTCCTCTATAAACATGCCCTGAATGGCCACTCGGAGAGAAGAAGACAATTATTCTAAAGGCTGAATAAATATTCAGAATGCATTATTAGACTGTAAGCCCACATTACAGTTAGAGAATAAAGGGGAAGCCTAATAACACATCACAACTATGAAGACCTTCCTGCAAGCAGGTCCTCTTCAAATGACAGTTGACATCATAAGTGAGTATTGATGTCATATTTCAAGGCATTTGCCAAGAATAATAAAGAGTCTTTACTGTATATATAAAAAACCAAAATGAAAATTTGTGGAGACTCCTGGCTTAGAAAGTGCACACAATAAGCAGACAGAAATTCAAAACACTTATAGAAAAAAGGAATCGTTAATCGACACTCAGAGAAACTATAACGCCCTAAAAAGTAAAACATCAAATTCAAGACACCCTTGTGGGAGATATAAACTTTAAAGCTTTGGCACAATTGGTTCCTAAAAATGATCACTGACAAAAAGCATGACCCCATATTGGTTACAAAGTGAACGAACAAAGTGAATGTCTTTAAAAATCCCTGATTTTAGTGGGAACTATGAGCAGGTAAAGTGACCCAAAACTTGAGTGACACCAGATGTGTCAGGAAAAAATCCAAAAACAATTGTTAGAAACTACAGAGTTCCTGTTCCAAGTCGTGTAGTCTATAAGCCTTAATCTGTCACTCTGGAAAATTGAAATCATTTGGCAATTCTAACTGACCTGAAACAGGAAAGGTATAGTCTGAAATTTATGTTAGACAAAATGGTTATATCTTTTCATAAAGGGGGACGTAAATATTTTTCTTATTAAACTTGCATCTAATTTCTGCTGATCAGCGTGTTTTCCCTCTATTTTATTACAACTCAATCCTTTAAATCTCCTTTTCGCTATGATTTTTATAAACATTAGAAAATCCTCTGATTTTTCGGGTGAGCAAAACAATGGAAACGTCATATAGTATATATACCCTGTTAGAGAGACAGGAGATATATATATATATATATATATATATATATATATATATATATATATATATATACTGTATATATATATATATATATATATACTGTATATATATATATCTCCTAATATATATACAAATAATGCTCTTGCAAAATGCAGCTCCATGATTTGTTGCCTAACACAGCCAATGTAGAATCACATAGTTTGATTCTGACACAACTTATTTAAAAAATATCTAGACTGGGGCCTAGAGCTTATACCTTACATCAGATCTGAGATCCCTATGTTAAAGAAATTGTATACTCATTCACTTTAAATCTGCAGTTGTGCTATTATAAACTTTTTTCAACTTAGTTTTACTCACTTAAGTGTCCTGCAAACTGCTGCGTCAAGACATCTGCCTTTAAAAATCCTGATGGGTCATTATTCAAAAACTCAACCGGCATTGAACAAGTTTACATGAATGTGCAATTTGTA